AGAAGAGAATAGAAAAAATAACAAAGAAAAACGGAATAAAGCTGTCTTCTAAAGTTCAAATTTCGAAATTTGAATTTCAAATAGAACAGCATAAAATAGAAAGAATATAGCCATCTTATGAAATTCGAAATTCACATTTTGAAATTTGAATTTTGAACAGTATAGAATAAAATTGAATAGAATAAAACAAAAGTATATGAAAGCAATCTTCCAAAATTAGAATTTTGAAAAGAATAGAAGAGAAAATAAAATAGAATAGAAATTAAAAGAATACAATATAAAATAACAGAAAATAAAACGAAATAGAAAATAAAGGAATAAAATAGAAACGAAGAGAAAAAAATATAGTTGGCTTCTGAAATTCAAATTTCGAAAAGAATAGAAAAAAACTGAATACAATAGAAAAAAGAATAGAATAGAAAACAACAGAATACAATACAATAAAATATAGAATAAAGAAAAAGCATAAATAAGTAAGAAAGGAATAGAATAGATTAAAAAATAATTTAATAGCATAAAATAGAAATAATTCTAATTTTGAATAGAATAGAATAAAAAATAGAAAGAATATAGCTGTCTTCCAAAATTTGAATTTTGAAATTCGAATTTTGAATAAAATAGAACAAAAGAATAGAAAAAATATAGCCATCTATAGAGATACCCACCTTACATGTCTGGTTGATTGGCACTGTTACAGTGAGGCAAAACATTGTGTTGCTATGGAGCTAGAAGATTCTCAGTGTCTGACTTTGAGTTGCCCCGGAATCTTGGTGCTCACCCCACCCTTGGCAGTACCTTAGGGGTCGTTCAGGAAGCGTTCCATAGCACATCCATATACCTTTCCCCTTCTCTCATGGTTCCCATACTGGGCAACCCTGACTTTTCCCCAGGATTAGATGATCAGCAATTTGTTTGCTAAAAACTACTGGGCACACTAATGTGTCAGACTTTCTGACCTCTGATGGGGCTCTAATTACTACTAATTTTACCCAGTTGGTGGACCCTCCTTTGGACTTCTGGGTTGGCCTCCAGCTCCAATCCTATAATTGTTCACTCTTTTTGTTTGCCAGGCATTGCTCACACGTTGACAGCTATTGAAGTCCTGTGCCGTAAGGGAAGCAAGTGCGGCAAAGACTCTTTTTTCATCTCTCATTTATCAAGAGACAGATTATGCTCCCCTTTTCTTTCTAAATGGGAGTCAGATTTAGGTGTGTCCTTTACAGAATCACAGAAGGAGGTAATTCTACATTTTGCCCAAAAGTCCTCAATGGCCACCAAGATCAAAGAGACCAACTATAAACTTCTCACTCAATGGTATTGGGTACTCACCAAGCTCCATCATATCTTGCCTCAGTTCTCTAATGTCTGCTGGTACTGTGGAGTAGATAGAGGCACCTTCCTCCACATTTTTTGGCAATGCCCGAAGCTCCAGTCATTCTGGTGAGGAGTAAATGGTATAATCAAACTACTTACCGCCGTGGAGTTGCAAGATGACCCAGCAGCCTGCCTCCTTCACCTATCAGGAAGACCCATCACCTTCCATGACGCTTGGGTTGGGATTTACTAAAACTGGAGCATCCAAAATCTGGTGGTGCCCTGCATAGAAACCAATCAGCTTCCAGGTTTGATTGCCAAAGCTTCATTGAGCAAGCTGAAGTTAGAAGCTGATTGGCTACCATGCCAAGCTGCACCAGATTCTGAGTGCACCATATCTCGCCGCAGTTTTCTAATGTCTGCTGGTGCTGCGGAGCAGATAGAGGCACCTTCCTTCACATGTTCTGGCAATGCCTGAAGCTGCAGTCATTCTGGTGAGGTGTAAATGGTATAATCAAACTACTTACTGCCGTGGAGTTGCAAGATGACCCAGCAGCCTGCCTCCTTCACCTATCAAGAAGACAAATTAAGAAATATTAGACCTCTCTCACCATTCAGCTGCTCAATGCAGCGATGGCCTCTGTTAGATTGAGGCTCACACACAATCTCTCTCTGGTTTTCCAAGGTGAATAAACTTAGGGGCATGGAGGCCACCTTGCATAATAAAGAAGATATCTTCCGTGACACTTGGGGTGGGATTTACTAATGCTGAAGCATCTAAAATCTGGTGCTGCACTGCATAGAACCAAACAGATTCCAGGTTTTATTGCCAAAGCTTCATTAAACAAGCTGAAGTTAGAGGTTGATTGGCTACTGTGCCCAGCTGCACCAGATTCTGAGTGCACCAGTTTTAGTAAATCTCGCCCTTGGCGTCCTTGGTAATATTTTGTCTTTAGAGATGAACTTACTAAATTAACTTACTCCTCCCCAGTGAGGTTCATTCCTTTTGGTCCCTACTCAGGGGTGGACTGACAACTCATGGGGCCCCCGGGTAATAGGAGATCATGGGGCCCCTGTGTCGTTGCCCAAACTCAAAAAAGTCTATGAAAAAGGTACCAGGGGCATCTCATGGGGCCCCCTACTGACCCCGGGCCCTCGGGCAGTGCCCGAGTTTCCAAATGGTCAGTCCGCCCTTGTCCCTACTACGCTCCCCAGGAGAGGATGTAAGACCACTGTGCTTTTGTCTGCTTACCCACCTGCACTCTTCATTCATTTGGTCTTACTTTCCTTCTGCCTTTTCCCCCCTTCTTTCTCCCTCCATTCTCCTCCCATCCTCTCTAGCTCCCGCAGTACCTGCCTGTGGGCTGTATTCCTAGTCCCTTCCCTAAAATCAGTCTGCTCTTGTATAGAGGGTCAGCAATGTTCCCCTTGCTGTCTCATAGCCCAGAGCGTATTGCTAAGCTTCATTCTACCCAGCGATTGCCTTAACCCTTTATGCCTCAAGGAAATCTCTAATACTATCATCATATGACTTGCCCATGATGATAATACTTTGTTTATGTCACATACGCCTTTTCTTACTGGCTATGACAATTTATATCTAATATTTTGTACAATACGGCATTTCTTGCAGTGTTATTCGGTGTAGAAGATGGTTTTCTGTTTGCCTTCTTTGTGCATGCTATTTGTACAAATAAAGGAAATGAAAAAAAAATATAGCCATCTTCTAAGATTTGAATTTCTAATCAAATAGAACAAGTTATTCTTAACAATGAATTCGGATCGATTTGATATGTTTTGATTTATATTCAATTTGAATATTTTGCATCCATTGAAAAATTTGAAAACGAATAAACTAAATATAGCTGAATGAAACAATTTCAGTACGACTGTTAATTACCTATATCTATATTGTACCGCGCTCCAAACTATATAAGTGCTCTAAATAAATTATGAATAAGTATTGTGTATCACCAATAATTCAATAATAATCTATAACCATAATGCTTAAATCCATAATTGCATAATACTTAAATCCATGATTAAAGTGAATCAAAAAAATTCTAATAATATTTGTAAATCAGTGCATAAAAAACTGCGTGCATACAAAACTAATAAAAAAGTGAAAAAATGAAAAAATATTAAAAAATATAAAAAATATATAAAAAATAAAAAAAAAAACTGAAAGAAAATTTGTATAAGTGAATAAATATATCCAAATCCTCCTGCAAACAGCCCTGCAGGTGTGTGTATGTTCACTCGATATACTCGCCGTTCCTCTGTGGATGCGTGATGACGTCACCGCCCCTCCCCTACGCGTTACGCTACAGGGACTCGTAGCTTCCTCTGGGGGATGTAGTTTTACATGTCATCCTGCACTGAGGTTATATATATCCTACCGACGCCATTTTTGCTGTGATTTCAACATTCTTAGTACCCCCTCCATATTATAGGAGTCCAAATTATACCTTAATGTTATCACTATTATATATATAGTGCGCCTCTTCATCCTCCGGCTGCTTCCACACACACCCCCTTCACAATTAGGATTGCAATCTCCTACTTTTACATCGCCATAAAGATAATAATAATCATTGCTATATCATCCACAATTTACATACTGTATCTCCATATTAAACATTTGGATTCCTTTATATACATTTATTTAATAAAAAATAACCATAAAATAAATTTATCAATAACTAATTTATTAAAATGCAGGGCTGTTTGCAGGAGGATTTGGATATATTTACACAAAGCGCTACTTTTGTTGATACCATGTGAGTGGGAGATCAGAAGCTCATTAAACATTTGCTACCCAGGATAAGACACTATGTTTCTTCTTTTTTCCCTTCTCTGTATGTATCGGTTATGGAGGAATAAGCCAAGCAACTAGAGGAGAAAGTCCTTATTGAGAAAAGCTGTGTTGAGGAGAAAGGAGAGGAGGAAGGAGAGAGAGAGGTTCATGTCATGAACATTGACTTACTACGCAGATTAGATTGAACTACATTACTATCTCAATTCGTATGAACTGAACTATTATTCACTTATACAAATTTTCTTTCAGTTTATTTTTTATTCTTTTATATATTTTTTTATTTTTTTAATATTTTTTCATTTTTTCACTTTTTATTAGTTTTGTATGCACGCAGTTTTTTATGCACTGATTTACAAATATTATTAGAATTTTTTTGATTCACTTTAATCATGGATTTAAGTATTATGCAATTATGGATTTAAGCATTATGGTTATAGATTATTATTGAATTATTGGTGATACACAATACTTATTCATAATTTATTTAGAGCACTTATATAGTTTGGAGCGCGGTACAATATAGATATAGGTAATTAACATCCATACACCTAGAGAGGGTGTAAAAAGTACCTGGCGATCTAAATATCTAATTAAGCACGTTAATTGATTTATTAGTGGTTCACTTCATTCATTATCTAATATTATTTTTAAACACGGAATTAATTGCTTTATTAGTAAGAAAACTTCTAGTGGCTCACAAGTATTTAATTAATTTGCATTTTTAATTTCAGTACGACTGCAACAAAAAAAAAAGTAACTTAATCGATCTGAAACAAAATGATTTTTTTCATTTTGCTCATGTCAAAAAATGTAATTTGATGAATCAAATATGATAATTCTAAGCATATATTTGTAAGTTCTGCAATATTTATTTCCACCACTGTAGATATCTACTTATGACAGCATGCATATCTTGATTCCTCAGGCTGTATATGATGGGATTGAACAATGGTGTTATTATAGTAAATGTAACCGATATCATTTTGTTAATGGCTATAGGATGTCCTTTTATTGGAGTAAAGTAGTTTATTAATGCAGATCCATAAAACATCCCCACCACCAAGAGATGAGTGCTACAAGTAGAGAATGCTTTCTTCCTGCTGCCGATGGACGGCATTCTAAGGATGACTACAGAAATACACACATAACTTACAAAAGTTAATAGGAATGGTGCAGCAATTATGGGGACTGATAGAACAAATATATAAATTTGCAGACTGGAAGTTTCGGAGCAAGCAATATCGAGAAAAGGAGCAAGATCACAGAAGTAATGGTCAATGACATTGCGACCACAGAACTTGAATAAAGACAGAAAAATCATTGTGATCAATGTCACAAGAAAGCCAAGCATCCAGCAAATGCTAACCAGGAAATATTGAAGGTTGTGGTCCATTATTGTGTTGTAGTGTAAAGGTTTGCATATGGCCAAGTATCGGTCGTAGGACATTACTGTGAGCAGATAACACTCAGAAGTACCTGCAGTTAAAAACAAGTAGTTCTGACTGATACATCCAGGGATAGATACATTGGCTCCATCCATCCATATGATACGTAACATATTGGGGACAATAACGGTCACTAAACACATTTCTGAAAATAAGAAATTCTTGAGGAACAAGTTCATGGGGGAATGTAGACTTTTTCTGGTTGACACTAATATTATAATCATAATATCGAGAAGCACTGTCAATGTATATGTCAACAATATGAGAGCGAAGGGAAGAAATCTAAGCCTACCAAATCCAGGGAAGCCCAGAAAAAAGAAATGATTTGTTTGTGTCACATTTTCTGTATTCATATTCATTTTTGTAGCTGTGAAGACAGATCCGGTTTAAATATCCCCTCCACTTGCTCTCTGTTTTCACCAAATGTTGAAGTTGAATATATAATGTGCTATAGGAAGGGCTGAATATATACTTCCTGCCCCTTGGTTACATAGTTAGTCTGGCTGAAAAAAGACAAAAGTCAATTCAGTTCAACCATAGAAAAAAAAAAAAGTTATAATCCTATACCCACAGTTGATCCAGAGGACGGCAAAAAAAAAAAAAAAACCCAGCAAAGCATGATCTAATTTGCACCTGCTGGGAAAAAAATTCCTTCCTGATCCCCCGAGAGGCAATCGGATATTCCCTGGGTCAACTTTACTTATAAATGTTAGTATCCAGTTATATTCTGGTGATCTGTCTTGTGCTACCCTCCCTCCTATCCACATTAACTGCTACCCTAAACATCACAATGTCATGGCCACAAAAGGCCCACCACAGCTGGAATCAGATAGGCTGAAAGGGACAACTTGCCTTCATTGCATATGGCGCACTAGTGTGGTTATAAGAGTACAGAGCCAGAATGTGTGAGCTGCATGTATGAATTTCCACTTAAAAAGTATACTCAAACTGTACAGGATGGGGAAATGAAGATCCAGCCTGACAGCACTGACAGTCAAGGTCGTGGTCTGGTAACTTTATTACACATGATAATATGTTACTGGTAGTCAACACCATAATGTGTGGATGGGTGTGTGCCACCATTATCAGCCATCTCACCAACAGACATCCATACCTGAGTGGACCAGATATTTTCAATACATGTCTTTCTTCTCAAACAGAAGTATAATAAAATGAAAAAAAACACTTGCAATAAAAATAATGATTTTTTTTTAGCAGAAATACTATGTCATCTCTTGCTTTTGAAGAAAACTGGACTTCAGCAATTTGAAAAAGATTGATTGTTATGGGGTTGCTGAAATTCAGAATGAACACGTAAGACAAATAACTCTTTACTGAACTCTTCATTGAGTAAGGCTAAAACTCTTTTTTGCAATTTTTTTTTCCTCATTTGTGATTTTGTAACACATTTTTGATAAATATAAATCTGATTTAATTCTGTAACTCTGAAAATGTAATACCAGAGGCATGATAAAATGAGAGAACACTTGCAATAAAAACATTGAAATTAAACTTTTTAGCAATAATATCATCTCATCTATAGAATTTTAAGAAGCTTTGACTTCAACAGACCATATTCTGATGAATTAATATGGGTTACTGAAATTCAGAATGAATAAATGAGATGAACAACCCTCTACTGAGTAAAGCTAAAACTCTTTTTGTCAAGATTTTTTACTCATTTTTGTCTCATTTGTGATTTTGTCGCACATTTTTGATAAATACAGATCCAAATTAATTATTTAACTTTTACTCCAATGCTCTAATAATGCAATAAGTATAGTCATTTACTGAAGGAGTAATTTTATCCTGACCTGAATTTACTTCACATGCCCAGTTAGAACCAGAGAAATTAGAAAAAGGAAATGTTTTTGATTGTGAATATATAATCTAGAGCACGTGTGTCAACCTCAATTTCATTTCCAGTCACATCAGCATTATGGTTGCTCTCAAAGGGCTTTTTGTATCTGTAAGACTAGATGTCCAGAGCATCTAACCCCCCTACATCAGGTGTCAAGAGCCCTCCACCATCAGAAGTCAAAAGTCCCCCCCCTTACATCACAGTGCACCCCCTTACCTTGTGTTGCTGCCGAGAAGAACCTGGGGGTGGAGTTAGGAAGCAGAAAGTGCAGGGTCTTGAGGAGGACAAGAGGAAGGCTGGACTCTGCTGCCAGGAGAAGCAGAGACGAGGGGGTGCTGTGGCTACAGAGAAAGGTGTGGTATCTGTTGGAGGAGTTCTGTTCTCCTCTGATGCTTACTTCTAAGAGGGGGAGAGACAAGCCTCTCCGTGGCTGCATGGAGAAGAGCAGGACCTGGTAGAGGAGCCCTGTCCTCCTCTACTGCTGACTGCTGAGACAAGGTTGCGGTGGAGATGATGTGGGTGCCGCAACTGCATGAGAGGTGCAAGGGCCACATGAAATGGCCTGGAGGGCCAGATTTGGCCCATGGGCCTTGTGTTTGACACATGATCTAGAGCAAAACTAGCTTTTGATAGAGTCAGGAAGGGATATCAACACTCTCAGATTTTATTTGCTCCCCCCACTAAGAAGGTTATCTCTCTCTATTCACCCTGTTGACCACTATCTCCAGAATGAACTCCAAAACCTGAGTTGTCATCAGAACAAGAGATGTGGGGAAATCTTCCACTGGGTACACTTGTTCAGATGAGAACTGAACAACATTGTTTATTACACAGATCACCTTGTTAACAAACCACCCTTTTTTGGCAAAGGAAAGAGATATTTTTTACCTGACTTGCCATTAGGCAGCAAATGCTGATTTAAGTATAAATCTGATACCATCAGTATAAATGGAAAACATCATGATAATCCTCACTGCAGTCAACATAAAACCAACAAACACATGTTCCTTAAATTTCAGAAAATCAGGACGCAGCTTTACATTCAGTGCCATTTTTAACTATTTTTACAATCTCATAGACTATTTTTTAAGCTTTCTTTATATGAATACTGTGGTGAAAAAAAAAATATTTTAATAATACTGAAAATAGCAAGAGAAGAATTATAGAAGTTTATGGAACGTCTGTAAAAAAAAACATAATAAAAAAAAATGTCTATACAATTTATCTCTTATCACAAATTTATCTCTGAGCACAAAACTTGCACAAGGAATAAAACAGAATTGAAAACCGTAAGAAACATTGACCTGTGATCAAAGAAGTGAAATTTAGCTGTAAAAATCCAAAATATTAGAAACATAAAAAAATATGTTTAAGACTGAGTTCCAAGAATCATTTCTTCTATTGTTCTAAAATATTAATGCTCATGAAACCTTTATATATTCTTGCTTTATTTATAACAATAATTACTACATATCCACTGAGTGCAATAATTATACTTTAGAGATTCTGAAACTGATTTAGTTATTGAACACTTTATTTTAGCCCTTCTTACTAAAAACACAACTAAGTCACACCGAAGAGCTCTAAGCTCTATGGTCAACTATTGGTCATAGGACATTGTGGTGAGAAAATCGCAATCAAGACAAGGTCAGGTAGTCCTGAGTGATGCATCTAGTGAGAAATCTATTGGATCTATCCATTAGTGGACAAAGTCATCAAGGGGCAGTGACAATAAAGTAACATACATTATATAAAGAATATTAAATTATGAGATAAAATAATTATCTTTGAAAAAGTAATGCAAAATTCCAACACCAAAAAATAATATTTATGTTTGCGGATTAAATATGTGTTGTTCAATAAAGCATAGTATTGTATAAATTATTTGGCGATATGATAGTTTGACAGAATATTTTTTATCATAAAAAAATTGTAAATATGACATATCAGCTGTGATAAATTCTATTGTTAGAGGGATGGTGAAATAACTTGATAGACTGGATTGAAAAAAGTGTAGAGTATCAACTGGAAGATTCCTGTAAACCTTCGTATTCTCATAACAATAGACAAGTAGTGATGAACCAAACTGCTCTGGGTTCATTTTGATCAGGGTTCAGGGAAATTCAAAGAATTCAGATGGTGAAAACAAACCACAATAAAATCAATAGGAGCCAAATTTGTCAAATTAAAAAGGGCCATATTGTGGGCTAATAGGCAAGGAGGTGTAAAAATAATATCATGGGTTGGTCACATCCCTGGGAAACATTTACCAATAATACAAATTGAGTAGAAAGGTGGGTGGTAGGGGATAGAATGGGGGACCCTGAAATAGCCAGTGCCAATGTGTGGAGTATAGTAAAATGACAGTTAAATGACCCCTCTACTGAGAAGTAAGTGTGATATATTCTGGAGAGGACAGAAGGTCCAGCCAGTAGAATTGTCTAAACCTAAAGACTTCCATATTTCCCTTCAAACTTTAGGTACGATTTTCCATATTTTTAATGTCTTGAATTCTGGCAAACCATTTTGTCACTGTTAGAAAATCCGACTGACGTCACAGTGCGAGGATGCAGGCTTTGGCTGTATTGACCAGGTACATGATGTCAGAAATTTGTAGGTTTTGTGAGGAATCATGATTCGTGATGGAGAAGGAAGAAGGCTGGGTCTTGGGGTATATGAAAGCCCATAAATGTTTGGAGGATTGAACTGATAGATGTCCAAAACCCATCTCATTTAGGATGACTCCAGAAAATGTGTTGCAAAGAACCCATCTCAGCACTGCACCTCCAACATAAACGAGAACGTGGAGAATATAAATTATGGAGGAGAGAAAGTACTCTGTACTAGTTGATTAACAACCTTATATTCTGCTTCTTGGTATTTGCTACTTATTGAGGAGGAGAAAAAATTAATGAAGACAACAGATAACCCATGTGTGTCCCATTACTTATTGAAAAAAGGCAAAGAGAGAGTTCCAGTGGCCTTCACTTTGGCTCAGTGCTTGGAATATAAGGCTAATGTGTGTAAGCAGAAAGATCCATTTTTTGACATGTCTCAATAATGTCTCCATGAAGGACTAGTCAACACAGTCAAAGTTCTTCCCTGCATCTGCTGACAACAACATAAGTTTGTAAATCTTGATTTGTGCTGCATGGATAAGGTCTAAGGCC